CCTACCCCTAACCCCCCCCTACCCCCCCCCCCCCCTAAAAAAAAAAAGAAAAGCCATTAATGACACAAGTGAGACATGCGACCGCATTGATGTCAATTACCTATGTTATCAGGGCATAATTGCTTTCCCTTTCACTTATATCATTAATGTGCTAGCAACTCACCTTTTTTGGAAACATACAACCAATCTCTAGGTACCATCCCAATAACAAAGACGCCCTAGGGGTGTAATGGTTTAACTTCTAAGTATTTTAACCTATCCCATACTGAACTTCAAGACATGATAGTTTTAGACTTTCTTCTCAAATTAAACATGACATGATTAGTCATTCCAAATTGCAGAGCCTCCGAACAATTTATGCGGAAGCTAGAAGATGTCCCCAGACTCTTAAGTGAATATACAGACTCCAATGCTCACGAAAACTAGACCTAAAATCAGGTCCAAGCAAGTGGTCCTACAAGTAACGAGTTCTCACCTGAAGTCTTGAGTCTGTAACATCAACATGTTCGTCCAGGTTATCCTGCATTGGTAAGACAATGAAAGTGCACTGAAATCAGTATCCACTTTAGTAGCAGAAAGGTTGTATTTCTGTAAGAAAATAAATTTTCAATATAAACCGGGAAAATAGAGCTCATACAATAAGTCTTGTTTGCAAGCCAAGTTCTTCATTAACTGCCAGTGCTATATGTTTGGTGCTCATCACTGTCTCCTCCAAACTCTCAAGGCCCTCATCTTGCTCTGATTTGATAGAAAAGCCAACAAATAAGGAAAATAACAGAAAATAAATCCAAGAAATTCGAAACATTTCGAACTAAATACTCCCTAATAAAAAAACTGAATACTCCCTGCATCTCAAATTATGCAACACCATGTGTGTGGAGCTTAAGATGTTATTATGACTTGTGTATAATATAAGTAGTAAAGCATGAAGAAACTACTAAGTAATAATAGTAAAATTAGTTAGACAGTGAAAACGTCCTATCAAAGTTTAAATTTGATTAGCTACATAAATCTAATTTCTTGAAACCTGTGAAAATTGTTTAATTTTTTTTTTCATGTAATATCATCAAAGTTTAAATATGAGCAGCCAAATAAAGGAAAAAAGTATCATACAAATTGAGGATAGAGGAGCAGATAAAAACTTGCCTTTCATAATTTGCCGTTGAAGACCAACAACCCCATAATTGTCAAGGCCTGTTGCTCTGCTCATAGCATCAACCGGCTTTATTTCTGGTCCAAGCAAGCTGTCCCTATTGGCGAGGCTTGACATGTTCAATGTGGAGGCCATTTGGGTTACTTTCGATTTTAAATTTGCAAGCATATCCTTGCGACGATTCATCTCTTTCTCTGTCCTGCATACAGTATAGAATACTCATCAAATACATCCAGGAAGCAACATAATAGTAGTAACAGAAATACGCCAGTTTATTCAAATCTAGAGATGGATAGTGCAGCATGTGCACAAACTTTATAGGGACTTTTGAAAGACACAACTGTCCACACTGTTAAGTCAGATTGCAGAAGAGAGTCTCAACATTCTGAATTACCATATCGACAATTCACATATAACTTGTTGTACATACCAACCTAAACCTTTATTTCAGCAGTACATTTCCATGGAACTCTCAACATTTCAAATTAAATGTGTTCAAGAACTTTATAAGATTTTCAAGGAAAAAAGAAGTAAGAATTTTAACTTTTTACAATTTATCAGTTGGCGCTTAAGGCCAGTGAGGCCAAAACTGCAGTATTAAATCCAAGTTTAATGTACTTCAGTCTGAGTACACAAACAAAAATCCTAGGAAACTTTGGTAGAAAAATATGTGATTCATGGGTCTCAAAAGTTCCGGTAAATGGAAATGAAATTTGAAATATCAGTTCAAAACAAAATAGGATCAGAAACACATTCAACTAAAGAACCATTCACAATCATGGTAGAACTACATAGCGAGACAGATGGCACTCAATAATCAGTAGCAGTTCTAGAAACAGATACCAAATTTACCAGAAAGATGTCAATAGGGTGCAATATAGAAGAAAGAATCCAGCCAATTCTTTTAATTCAGCGGGTTTTTTCCCATCAGCACTCTACTCTTATACAATAGATTTGCACCCACGCAATAGAAGACTCAATTTAACATTGGAATTCTACTTTTGTACATAACCATCACAGCCACCCAATGAAAGACTCAAATTAAGAACACTCACAAAGGCTGCTTTCCAGGAAGCTTTGACAGGATAGACTGTAAGTTATCAAGTCTAGTTCCTAATATTGTGATCTTCCTCCTTATAGCGGATGAATGACGTTGCGCTTCTGGGCCTGAAGCAGGCAATGAATTCCTTTCAGATATCATGTTAGTGATATCATCCGCGAGTTTCAGTGCTTCGTTATACTCCCGGATCCATGAGTCTCCAGAAGAAGCCATTACCTGAATAGACATCAGAAAGAAATACATAAATCCTGAAGAGACATCAGAAAGAAATACATAAATTTGCACATTGACTACAACTTAATCAATCAAAACACCTGTAACAAGATCAATGCAACTTTAAGCTTCTTTTCCGTCATTCAACGTGCTAGGAGCTTTTGTGGAAGATCCACCAAGATAAAAATATGGATCAAAAGAAACCACAGAAAACAAAGGGTAGGGAGACCATTTTCAACAAAATTCAGAACAAGTTCACTTTCTCATGCGGATGTGCAACACTATCTACATCCAACAACTTAGTCCAAAGATGATGAAAATTAGAGGAACATCAAGATTTAAGCTTGATGTGAGATCAAATCTTTCTTGGTTTTCCAACTAAGTAGAAATGTTCCTCCTCCCCCCACTGCCCGCTAAGGAAAAAGAATCAAAAGCACCACAAAGAATAAGAAGGGAAAAAAAAATTGGAATGTGATCTTAAAGTTTACAATGCATTTTTGTTTCCTTCCTAAACAAGAGCAAGAACAGTAAATCTTCAATTACGACTTCTTTTGTATAAAGAAATTTTCAATAATGACGTAAAGACAGTTATAGCCTATAGAATAGCGGTATAGCGTGCTACATTCTAAACCATAGCTACTTTTAAGTCATAAGACTTTCGTACTTGAATTAATTAAGAGAATTACCAAAATAGCAACCAACTTAATCTGAAGAAAGCAGTAAATTTCTTCCCTTTATCCAAGGTAATCAAATATGATATGAACTATTAAACTCAATTACAAAAACTTAGCTCAATTGCAACCAAATATAGACGCAATTCTACGAAGAACAACATAGCAGCAATTATATGAAACAACTATAAAACCTATTTTATATGAAGCATGAAACTCAGCTACAAAAATTTAGCTCTATATCAACCAAAAATCCTAAGTTTCACGCAATCCAGAACCCTAATTCTTCAGTTGCGAAAAAGAGAAAAATCAATATGCTGAATAATTTTAGTTAAACACCAGAAACAATACCGAATTACGGGTGATTGGATGTACATTCGATTAATTACTTGAATGGAAAAAAACAAGCAATTCAGATGATCGTACATACGTCAATCGAAAAAGAGTTTTAATATCACCTCTTTTTGATCTGAATTCGTGGTGGCGATGGGTGTAATAAGTTAATAACTTTAAAGGAAAGGCGCCACCCACTTTACCGGCAAAGTTTTGTCCAGCTCCGTCGTCGTCTTCTTTATTGTCACGTTGAGACAATGATAAGGAGTCAATAATCACTACGAATTTCCATTGAAACGACTTTTATCTTTTTCCGTGAAAATAACATTTACACTTCAATTAAATGAGAGTAAAAAATAAAAAAGAATAACTGATACTTCAACTTTTCCGTTAAAGCACGTCGTCGTTTTATACGTCCAGTAGACAATGAACGTCGCTCCTCCTTTTTTTTCCTCCTTGAATATTAATATTTCTTTTTTGAGTACAAACAGGATATATATATATATATATATATATATATATATATATATATATATATATATATATATATATATATATATATATATTGCTTACTAGAAAGAGTTTAACCTATTACAAGCCATAGTGTCACTTGTGGTGACATTAAGATTAGGTATCCCCATAGAGAAGGAGGTAATGTTATCTGAAATGTCACATACAATATTCTGATTACTTGGGGTCCTAAGCATATTATAAACTATAGTTGGTAGCGATTTCGAAAAGGTGTATTCCTCGCTCCCGTCCGAAAGTAGTTGTTGCATCACAAAAATTGGCGGTAAGCTTAATTAGTTCTTCCGGGTTTATATTGCTTATTTTCCTGGTTTTTGACATCCTTAGCTTGTAACGACCCGGCCGGTCGTTTTGAGCTCTAGTGCGTCGTTCAACCATTTGAGGTCATGAGCAGCTCCGCTTCAGGTATTATGAGTTGTACGCGTGGTCGGAATTGAATTTCGGGAAGTTCGGAGTTGATTTGGAGAGAAAATTCTCATTTCGGAAGATTTAAAAAGGAAGAATTAATTAAGATTGGATTTTTGAGTAAACGACCTCGGAATCGGGATTTGAAGGTTCCAGCAGGTTCGTATGATGATTTCGGACTTGGGCGTATTCGGATCGGGTTTTGGATGAACCGGGAGCGTTTCGGCGCCTATTGTAGAAGTTAGCATTTTGGAAGAATTTTATAAATTTGGGTTGAAGTGTATTTCAATGTTATCGATGTCCGTTTGGGATTCCGAGTCTGAAAATAGCTCCGTATGGTGATTCTGGTATTGGGAGCACGTCCGGAAGTGGATTTGGAGGTGTGTAGGTCATTTTTGGGTCATTTGGCGGAAGTTAGAAATTTGAAGGTTTTTAAGAAGTTTGACCGTGAGTGAACTTTTTGATATCAGAGTTGGATTCCGATTCCGAAAGTTGGAGTAGGTCCATAATGTCGGATGTGACTTGTGTGCAAATTTTGAGGTCAATCGGACGTGATTTGATGGGTTTCGGCATCGAATATAGAAGTTTGAAGTTCTAAAGTTCATTAAGCTTGAATCGGGTTTCGATCCGTTATTTTGATGTTGTTTGATGTGATTTGAAGGCTCGACTAAGTTCGTAATGTGTTTTGGGACGTGTTGGTATAATAGGTTGAGGTCCCTAGGGTCTCGGGTGGATTCCGGATGGTAAACGGATCGAGTTTGGACTTGGAAGAAGTGCTGGAGCAGCTGCCTTCTGGTGTAACCACACCTGCGAGGTCTGGGCCACAGGTGCGGAGCCGCAGAAGCGGCCAAGAGGGGCGCAGGTACGATTTTGGTTGGGCAGTGGTGAGACCGCAGATGCGGTTATCTCGCCGCAGAAGCGAGACCGCTCCTGCGAAAGGGAAGGCACATAAGCGGAAGTAGGCAGCTGGGGGCATCTCCGCAGAAGCGGAATATCATCCGCACCTGCGGAACCACAGAAGCGGTCAAGTGACCGCAGGTGCGAGAAGTCGCTGGGCAGAGGGTTCTTTTAAAAATGGGGATTTGTCCCATTTTTCTTCCATTCTCTCTTGGTTGGGCAATTTTTGGAGAGCTTCAAGTGGGTATTTTCATCATCTATGCCAAGGTAAGTTATTCTCATTCATTGTAAGTTAAATACATGGTTTTCATATGGATTTAAGCATAAAAAATTATAGAAAATGGGATTTTTGGTAGAAAACCTAGAAATTGGTATTTTTGGATTTTGACCACGAAATTGGACATGAAATTTGGAATAAATTATATATTTGAGTTCGTGGAGTTATGGGTAAAGTTTATCTTCAAAAAATTTTGGAAATCCGGGCACGTGGGCCCAAGGGTGATTTTTATCGACCTTTCGAACGTTGGAAAATTATTGTAAATAAGAATATAATGAGTATTAGAGTATATATTTATGGAATTGCTCATTTATTGACTAGTTTTGGAGCGTTGGGCATCGGTTTGAGTTGTTGGAAGGGCTTGGGAGACGGTTATGGAACTTCGGAGCGAGGTAAGTCTCCTTTCTAACCTTGTAAGAGGGAATTAACCCCATAGGTGAATTAAATCAATATGTGCTTCTATTTGTGGGGGCTACGTACGCACGAGTTGACGAGAGTCCGTACGTAGTTACTAGCTATGCCTATGTCCGGGTAGTTTTAGGTTTACATCATGCCTTGTTGATATTTCTATTTGATTTATGGTTATTGTTTGCCTTGAGAAGAAGCAAGATTGAGGTTGCGTAATAATTGTCTTGAAAAGAATTGAAATTGAGAAATTTAAGATTTAAAAGTTTTTATTTGAACTTCGTATTTTCGAAAAGAATTGAGGAATATTATAGTAACTTAAGAAATCTATGTGTAACCGCGTCACAATTATATTCCACGAGTAGGGTAAATTTCCGCTACCCTCGTGGGAGTGGGTCGTTCGTCTCGACAGGTTAAATAGATGCATCTATGGTTCGTGCCATTCGACCCTCGACAGTGCACAATTTATATTTATATGTTGGTTCGTGCAGTTCGACCCTCGGCAGTGCACAATTTATATTTATATGTTGGATCGGACCGGTGGACCTCGGCATGATTTGTGCATGATTTATTTGGTTGCTTTGGAAATTTATAGTAACTGATATTGCTTCATTGGCCTGAGATAAATATGAAAAATGATGAAAAATAAATTTTGAAACCTCTTATTAACAAAAGAATTGTTTACTTGCTCCATGCTATTGAGTTACAGTCGTTTTATAAAAATCCTTGATCTATTATATTATCGATATATTATTGTTGGCCATAGTAAGTGTCGGAGTCGACCTCTCGTCACTACTTCTTCGAGGTTAGACTGGATACTTACTGGGTATGTGTTGTTTTTGTACTCATATTACACTTGATATACATTTTGTTGTACAAGCACAGTATGTCTAGTGGCCTTGACGCAGCGGTATGGTTGATACGGGAACTTAGGTGAGCTGCATCTTATGTTATGATCCGCAGTCAGCAAAGTCTCCTTCAGAGTATTTATATTTTTCTTTCGTGTCCGAATTTGTATTCCGGACAGAAGTTGTATTTTATTTTATTTTTCCTAGTTGATGCTCATGTACTTGTGACACCGGGTTTTGGGATGATTATGAGTTATTTAGAATTGAGATTGTTAAAAACATTATTTTTTACTTTGCAAATTTCCATCTTGTACTATTTAATGAAGGAAAACTATGACCTCGAAAATATTAAAAAGAGCCTAAATTAAGTACTTAACTGTTGGCTTGCCTGACATTGGTGTGATAAGTAGGAATTTTGACCGCTTATTTGCTCTCTTTTACTTGCGTTTTAGTTCAAAAATGCTTAAAGGTATTCCCGGAAACTAACGAAATGTGCTTACTTGCAGGAATATTGGGAAACGAGACAAAGAAGTCAAAATCAACTCATAAAGGAGTCAAAAGTTGTAACATCCCGTACATTCGGACTAGGTGTGGACATATTAATGTGTATTAATTTGATATGTTAGACATATGAAGTCCTGGCTTATGGATAAAAATAGTTGTTTTAGAATCAAGACGGATAGTGAGGTGCATAAGATTTGATAAAATCGACTAAGTTTGCAGAAGGTCTGTCTTCCAGCAGAGTTTAGTGAAAATGTGTAAGGAATTTGGGAAAATTCAAAGCATGAAAGTTGTAGGACTTTGAAATAGCTTTCCAACGATATATTGTGGAGCCCAAACGGAGCTCTTGCAAAAAGTTATGCCCATTTTACAAAATGGTGCGTAACCACCGCGTTCGGCCGCGTTTGACCGCGACCGCGGTCGTGAGGCAGTGCTCCAGCGATTTACCGCGGTCGGGACGGCGGTCAGGCCTACTGGGACGCGGTGGACGACTTGGGAAGTCGCTTTTTTAGCCTTATTTCCTCCCCCACAGACCCAAAACATAAAAACTTGCTCTAGAAAGGAAAACTCTCAAAAACCTAACTTCTTAAGGGTCCCTCCACCACCCAGGGTAAGTTCTAATGGTGATTCTAAGTTAATTTCGATTTTCCAACATCTTATTAACATGGGTAAACCCTCCATATCATTAGATATTCGATTGGGACACCATTGTTGAGAGAAGAAACCCTAGAACTCGAATTCAAGAAGATTGAACGTCAAAAAGGTAATATCTTCACCCTCTAATTGATTCTATCATTGAATTAATGATTATAGACTCTATTTCATGAGATATGAGTTGATGGGTTTGATAGAAAAGCATGAACGGTGATAGGTTTGGGTTGTTGATTGGTTATTATTGGTTATGGGTGTTGATTACCTTATGGGTGATGAAGAATAATGTTGATTATAACCATTTGAGACTTTAGAATTTATCTAGGAGCAGGAGAATGTGTTATTGGGTGTAGAGACACCATTAATAAGGGCTATGAAGCTTTATGCCACCGAGTGTTTGATAAAATGCCTAAGTGTCCAAAACATTACTATTATTGCTAATATGGAATCCCTTTGACTTCTATTGATATAGATTAAAGTTAAAAGGGTTGGCGAATGTTGTATTACGCTCAAGAGAAGGAAGTTAAGGTATGTGAGGCTAACTCTCTATGTTTGGGAATTTTAATGATTCTCCCTACACTACGTTTCTTTTACGACGTTACCAATTGGCTCAAAAATATAGTTAAGCCTAGTTCCTTGAATAGTTGCAGAACTTCTATTCTCTAGCTTCATAACTCGTTCACCACTTTCATTTTGAACGTTGTGAGCTCAGTGCGTATTCAATATATACTTGGGTTTGATGCCCCCGAGTCTTAGTATAGATTACTCAGTATGCCATAAACAATCGAAGTTTCAGTGTTCATAATCAGT